ATGGCACAGGGGGGTTGGAGCTTCGTGATCCTTGAGGTCCCTTCCAAGCCGGGCCGTTCTGTGATTGCGGGTACGGGGAAACGGGGTCTTTGGTGGAGGTTGCAGGAGATGGGGTTGTGGGGGAGTCCCAGGCGTAGGGGTGCAGAGGAGATGCATGGAAAAGGGGTGCGGGGGGAGGCAGAGGGAGCAACGGGGCTCGGGCAGAGGAGAGCAGCACAGCCTGCCCGGCCCTCCCCTCCCCGGGCCCCGCTCCTCCCGCTGTCCCCTCCCTCGGGGGCGGCCCGGCCCGTGGCGGAGCTCAGCCCCAGGGCGGTGCCAGCCCGGACCGAAGCGGAACCCCGCGGCCGTCGGCGCTCCGTTCCCCGCAGCGATGTCTCGGCCGCTGTCGGACCAGGAGCGACGGAAGCAGATCAGCATCCGCGGCATCGTGGGAGCCGAGAACGTGGCCGAGCTGAAGCGGGGCTTCAACCGGCACCTGCATTTCACGTTGGTTAAGGATCGCAACGTGGCCACCCCCCGCGACTACTACTTCGCGTTGGCCCACACCGTGCGGGACCACCTGGTGGGGCGATGGATCCGCACGCAGCAATACTACTACGAGAGGGACCCCAAGGTGGGTGCGGGGGGAGCCGGGCTGTGGGGCACGGCTGGGCTCGGGGCGCTGCGTTCCTCCTCCGTGGGGCTGCGCCGCTCAGCTTTGCAAAATGTCCCGGGTGGACTTTAGCGGGCGAGGCCGCTGCCCTTTGCTTTGCAAAACAAACAGAGCGCTTTGGTTCCGAGCATGGGAACGGCGGTGTTGTTCCCCTATGGGAATGGCGCTGTCCCGTATGGGAATGGCGTTGCTGTCCCCTATGGGAGTGGCATCGTCCTGCGGGGGAGCGGTGATGTTGTTGGCCCGGCCCGGCCGTGGGAGCGCCTCGGGGAACGTTCCCGTGGAGGGAGGATGGGGTTCGCGGAGCAAATGGAGCTGAAAGGCTGCTGCAGAGCTCGTTCTGCACCGCTCGGGACCGAGGGCGAGCCGTGTTGGGGGGTTTGCACCGGGCTCTGCTGGGGATTAAGCTCTAATCCCCTCCTGGCACCCGCACGGCACTGTCGGCTCCAATTTATCCCAATTTATCTATTAGTGGAAGCTGGAAGCCCGCTGCTCGGTGCAACTCTGCCGCAGGGCTCCAAATGCGGGGGGGGGCCCCCCCCCCCAGATGCCACCCGCCCAGCACTGATCCCATTGCATCCCATGGTGTGTGCAGTCAGCACTTCTGCAGCCCCAGTCCTCCCTAAACCCATCGCTGCTGACGCCGCAGGATGGGCAGCTCACAGAGCCACTGCTCTTGGTGCCCTGCTGCATCACACACCTGGTGGGTCCACAGCCCTACAAGCAGTGCTCCCACGGCCAAGCCCATGGGATGGCAGCACACAGGGAAATGGGATGCGCCCAGTTCTGCTTTGCCACTTGGTGATGCTGAGCAACATTAGGAAATGGGTCCTCTTTAAATTTAAACTTTGTACCGAGGTGACTCAACTCTTGGAAAGGGGAGATAACAGCGGGACAAGGGGAAATGGTGTGAAGTTGAGGGAGGACAGATGGAGGTTGGATGTCAGGGGAAGTTGTGTGCTGTGAGAGTGGTGAGGTGCTGGAACAGCTGCCCAGAGAGGCTGTGATGCCCCGTCCATCCCTGGAGGTGTTGAAGGCCAGGTTGGATGGGGCCCTGGGCAGCCTGGGCTGCTGTGAAATGGGGAGGTTGGTGGCCCTGCATGGCACAGGGGGGTTGGAGCTTCGTGATCCTTGAGGTCCCTTCCAACCCGGGCCGTTCTGTGACTCTGTGTGACCTTCCCATCCAAACAAACCCTCTGTGCCCTCCTCAAAAATAACATAGGGGCCAAAATGGGGTGAGAGCAGTGGATCTCCTCCAGGTCCTAAAATCCCCACTCCAAAGCGTGCTGGGAGGTGGGGTTTCCCATTGGAGCTCTGCTTTGGGAGCAGCAGCCCATGGGGTTGGCTGAGCACTAAGCCTTCCTCCTGCAGAGGATCTATTACCTCTCCCTGGAGTTCTACATGGGCCGGACACTGCAGAACACCATGATCAACCTGGGGCTGCAGAACGCCTGCGATGAGGCTGTGTACCAGGTGAGCACTGAGCTCTGGGCCTCGTGGCCCTGGGGTGACACTTGGGCTGATGGAGGGCTTTGTTTGTTTGCTTGCTTTTCTCTCCTCCCACCCCTTTGCCCCGTGCAGGGCAGCCACTGCTCAGCTGGAGTGGTTGCACAACAGCAGGAGCAGCTTTCAAGCAAATGACATTCAAAGGGAGGGCGATTTATCTGTGGGGCTTTTCTAAAGCTGTAAGCACAGTGAGGGCAACAGCCCGGCCAGGGGCAGGCAGCTATAGGAAGAGGTTTGGGTGTTGCATGGTGATTGCACAGCTGTGCAGCATTGCTGTGATGCAATAAAATGTTTGGCTTCATATGCATTGGTTTGAATGTGCGTAGTGGTGTTTGGGGCAGTTCAGTGCAATGCAGAGAGGGGCTGGTGCTGCAGGACCGGCTGGGGAGCTTTGGGATGGGGAGAACGTGGGCAAACACGTTGGTTGTGGGTTTTTTGGAGAAGTGGGAGCTGGTGGCTCAGCTGAGTTCCTCCTGAGCTGCCCTGGGAGCTTTGCATAAGCAAAACTTCTTCCTTGACAGCACTGTGGGCTGAAAGCTGGAGATGTGTTTGTAGGGGTGCTGTAGCCACATCTCTGCTTGTCCCTTTTGTAGGGTGGTGCCACCTGTAAGCTTGTCCACAACGAGGGGAAGGATGTGGGTGTCCCTCATAGTGACCCACAGCACTGGGGATGCACACAGCACAGGGACTGCCCTCCTCCCTCATGTCCCCATGTCCCAGCAGTGAGGGCAGCACCCTCACTGGGTGAGGGGTGCAGGGTGGGCGCTCAGTCCCACTGCCTCCTCCTTGTCCTCAGCTGGGGTTGGACATAGAAGAGCTGGAGGAGATCGAGGAGGATGCTGGGCTTGGTAATGGTGGGCTTGGCCGGCTTGCAGGTGAGAGAACCCCCAAATGGTGTTGCTCCCAGGGTGAGGGCACATCCCATGTGGGGACCCGTGCCCCGGGGCTCCCTGCTCCTTGCTGTCTTCTATCCTTGGCAGCCTGCTTCCTCGACTCGATGGCAACGCTGGGGCTGGCAGCCTACGGCTATGGCATCCGCTACGAGTATGGCATCTTCAACCAGAAGATCCGCAATGGGTGGCAGGTATGGTGGGAACCCCAGGCTGCACGTGGGGCCTGGGGCAGCCTGAGCTGCTGAGAGGCAGCCAGCCCATAGCTGGGATGGGACTGGGAGTGCTGTGAGGTCTCTTCCAACCCAACCATGCTGTGACTCCATGACTCCCCCGTGCAGGTGGAGGAAGCTGATGACTGGCTGCGGCATGGCAACCCCTGGGAGAAGGCCCGGCCCGAGTACATGCTGCCCGTGCACTTCTATGGCCGTGTGGAGCACACTGCCAGTGGCACCAAGTGGGTGGACACCCAGGTACGGGGGCACAGCCGGCACGCAGGGCCCCCAGGTGGCTTGTGTCCTGCTGCACTCAGAGTGACAGCCTACATCCAGCTGCTGCTGGCACCTGAAGGCATCTGTCCATCTCCTGAGGGCTTCTGGCCTCAGGCAGAGCTGGGGTGTCCCTGCAGCCGGGGCTCTGGGGACCCTGGGGAACCTTTTGGGGGTCCAAGAGCATCCCCAAGCCTGTCACCATTGCAAGGGTGGATGCAGCTCTGGTGGTTGGGGTGGGAGGGTTCCAGCAGGGCGTGGGGATGTGGGGACGTGGGGACAGGGTGCCTGCAGTCTGCCCAGCCTCACCAATGCCCCAGGTGGTGCTGGCACTGCCCTACGACACCCCTGTGCCCGGGTACATGAACAACACCGTCAACACCATGCGCCTGTGGTCGGCTCGGGCACCCAACGACTTCAACCTGCGGGACTGTGAGTGGGGGCCAATGGGGGTTGGGTGGGTTGGGGACAGCCAGGCCACTCTGACCGTACCCCTCTGCACCTCTACAGTTAACGTTGGGGACTACATCCAGGCCGTGCTGGACAGGAACCTGGCTGAGAACATCTCCCGCGTCCTCTATCCCAATGACAACGTAAGTCAGGCATTCTCGCTGTGCCCATGATGAGTGGCACAGGGCTGCCATGCCGTGTGATGCCACATGAGCCATTCCCTGTGTGCCCGGTGTCCATCTCACTCCTCTCACCGGCAGTTCTTCGAGGGGAAGGAGCTGCGCCTGAAGCAGGAATACTTTGTTGTGGCTGCCACCCTGCAGGACATCATCCGCCGCTTCAAAGCGTCCAAATTCGGGAGCACAGAAAGCGTCCGCACCGTGTTTGACTCCTTCCCTGACCAGGTACGAAGCAGGGCTGCTCCACCCCATGCCTCCAGCCCAGCAATCCACCTCCCCGTTGCTGTGTGCCGTTTGGTGAACTCAGCCACCGGGCTGATGTGGGTGATGGGTGCCACCGTGTCCCCGCAGGTCGCCATCCAGCTGAACGACACGCACCCTGCCATGGCCATCCCTGAGCTGATGAGGATTTTTGTGGATATTGAGAAACTGCCCTGGAGCAAGGTCAGGGGATGTGGCTCAGCTTTCTGTGTTGCAGGGCGGCCAACTGTAGTGTGGGCAATGGGTGCTGCACCTCTTCCTTGTGTATAAGGGTCATACACCCATCAGCAGTCATTAATAGGATGATAGGACAAGAGTATGGTCCTAGGTTGTGCTGGGGAGGGTCAGGTTGGATAGTGGGGAAACATTTCTTCTCCAGAAGAGCAGTGCTGCAGTGGCACAGCTGCCCATGGAGTGGTGGGGTCACCGTCCCTGGAGGTGTTCCTGAGCTATGGGATGTGGCACTGAGAGATGAGGGCACGGTGGGGTGGGCTGGGGGATCTTGAAGTGCTTTTCCAACCTCAGTGATTCTATGATTCTAATTAAGCAGCGCATGGGAGCAGGTGGGGTTCAACAAGCAGCTCGGGAGCATTTCCACTGTTGGAAAATCTCCAGCAGGCACTGGGGAGGGATGAGCCTGTGCTGCCCACCCAAGCCATGCTGGGGCCATGGTTCTGGGTGTAGGAACACATGTGGGTGCTCACACTCAGCTGGGTGCCCTGAAGCTGCCCCTGATGCCACTCTCCTGCTTGTAGGCCTGGGACATCACAAAGCAGACGTTTGCCTACACAAACCACACTGTGCTGCCCGAAGCCCTGGAGCGCTGGCCGGTGGACCTGGTGGAGAAGCTGCTCCCCAGGCACCTGGAAATCATCTATGAGATCAACCAGAGGCACCTGGACGTGAGGGGGTTGGGGGCTCTGGGTGATGGGGGTCTCACTGTGGGGATGGGGACAAACCGTGCTGTGTGTGTGGTTGGTGGCTGGGTGGTTCTGCAGCTCTTTGGGGAGGCTGGTAACCATGAACTGGGTGAGGCAATGCAAAGCCCTTCTTGTTGCTGTAGAGTTACCCAGACAGGTTGTGGGTTCTCCCTGGAGACCTTCATGGGGCTGAGGATCAGTTCTGGGTGTCCATGCTGGAGCAGGAGCTCGGCCAGAGGGACCCAGAGATCCCTGCCAGCCACAGCATTCTGTATTGCTATCCACTGTTGGTGGCTGTTTAAAATACTTAAAATGCTTCAGGGACTGTCAAGTTGACATTTCTTTGCTCCTTGAACTCTAAATTCATCCTGGAAAAGGATGAGGATGGCTTGAACCCCATAGAGAAGGTTCACACCATCACCCTCTAAAAGCCATTGCTCTGGCTGGCACCAAACGCATTGAGGATGTTACTGTGGTCCCCTCCTTGGGTGCTGGTCTGTTGGCTTGGCTGCTCACCCCCTCCTGGCCACCCCCCACAGCACATCGCGTCTCTCTTCCCCAACGATGTGGACCGGCTGCGGAGGATGTCCCTGATAGAGGAGGGAGGCACCAAGAGGATCAACATGGCTCACCTCTGCATCGTCGGCTCCCATGCTGTCAACGGAGTGGCCAAGATCCACTCTGAGATCGTCAAGTCTGAAGTGTAAGGGTGGGTGGGATGCAGTGGGGAATCCCCCCAGGCACAGAGCTGACGTTGCCCCCTCCTTGCCATTGCAGCTTCAGGGACTTTGCAGATCTGGAGCCGGACAAGTTCCAGAACAAGACCAATGGCATCACCCCACGGCGCTGGCTGCTGCTCTGCAACCCAGGGCTGGCTGAGCTCATTGCAGAGGTATGGGTGGCTCTGCACGTGGCTCCCAGCCTTGGGGGTCATCGTAGAGACACAGAACAGCTTGGGTTGGAAGGGACCTCGAGGATCGAGGCTGTGGATGCCCCATCCCTGCAGGCATTCAAGGCCAGGCTGGATGTGGCTCTGGGCAGCCTGGGTTGCTGGTTGGCGACCTGCACACAGCAGGGGGTTGGGACTGGATGAGCACTGTGCTCCTGTGCAACCCAGGCCATTCTAGGATTCTGTGATCATTGAGTTCCAGGCCTGAGCTGGCTGTGAGTCAGCAGCACGTACTTATTTGAGGTCCCTTCCAATGCAACCCATTCTCTGAACTCCCCCGTGGCCGCAGTCCATCGGTGCTTTGCGGTCAGCACGTGGCTGTGCTCCTCTCACAGAAAATAGGGGAGGACTACGTGCGCGACCTGAGCCAGCTGGCAAAGCTGCACGAGTTTGTAGATGACGACCTGTTCATCAGGGAAGTTGCCAAAGTGAAGCAGGTGAGGAATGCTGACAAGGGGAGCGCGGATTTGGATAAGGGGGAATGGATTTGGAGGGGGTGGATTTGGGGGGGGGTGCAGGGCTGACGCCCGCCCTGCCCTCGGCCAGGAGAACAAGGTGAAGTTCGCACTGCACCTGGAGAAGGAGTATGGGGTGAAGATCAACCCCTCCTCCATGTTTGACGTGCACGTGAAGAGGATCCACGAGTACAAGCGGCAGCTGATGAACTGCCTGCACATCATCACCATGTACAACCGTAAGGCCCCGCGGGGATGGGCAGGGGGTGGGTGGGAGATGGCACACAGCTGACGTTGGTGCTGCCCTCTCCTCCAGGCATCAAGAGGGACCCTGTGAAGCTCTTTGTTCCTAGGACGGTGATCATTGGAGGCAAGGTAAGCTGTGTTTGGGGGAAGCCCTCGGAATGCCCTACAAGGGAGTCCCCAGCGCTCCAGTTAACCCACTATGGCTCTGCTCCTAGGCTGCCCCGGGGTACCACATGGCCAAAATGATCATCAAGCTCATCAACGCCGTGGCCCAGGTGGTCAACAACGACCCCGTTGTGGGGAGCAAGCTGAAAGTCATCTTCCTGGAGAACTACAGGGTCTCCCTGGCAGAGAAGGGTACGTCCTATAGGGGAACACCAGTGCTGTTGGCCTGCGTCCTTCAGCACGGCCTTGGCGAGCCTCTTGCTGTGTGCTCTGTTGGCAGTGATCCCTGCCACCGACCTGTCGGAGCAGATCTCCACGGCGGGCACCGAGGCATCGGGCACGGGGAACATGAAGTTCATGCTGAATGGGGCTCTGACCATCGGCACCATGGATGGAGCCAACGTGGAGATGGCCGAGGAGGCCGGAGAGGAAAACCTCTTCATCTTTGGGATGAGGGTGGAGGATGTGGCGGAGCTGGACAAGGATGGGTGAGTAAGGAGGACGTGGTGGGGAGACGGTGGGCATTGGGGTTGGCATGGGCTCATGCTCTCTGCCCCCCAGCTACGATGCCCAGCAGTACTATGACCGGCTCCCCGAGCTGAAGCAGGCTGTTGACCAGATCCGGAGTGGCTTCTTCTCCTCGGATGAGCCAGACCTCTTCAGGGATGTGGTTGACATGCTTTTCCATCATGACCGGTGAGGTTCATGGCTGGGATGCCACCCATCCCTAGGCTCCAGCTCCATATCACAGTCATTCAGGTTGGAAAAGACTACTGAGATTCCCAAGCACCCCCCGCCCCCACTGCCCACGTCCCTCAGTGCCACATCTCCACAGCTCTGCAGCACCCCCAGGGATGGTGACCTCACCACACCTGGGCAGCTGTGCTAGTGCCCAACCACTCTTTCAGAGAAGAAATCATTCCTAATATCCAACCCAAACCTTCCCCTTGCAGCCATTAACTCACATCCTAAAGGAAACCATATATCCATGCAGAGCAGCCCTACACCCACTGCCTGATAGTATCCCATTTCCTGCCCCAGCTCCTGTGTACAGGGAAAAGCAATTTTTTGTACCCCTGGCACAAAAGTCTCTCTGTGCTCAGCCCTTCAGCTGGGCTGCATTAAACCTGCATTAAGGCTGGAATGCATTCAGGTGCACAGACCTTCATAGAATCACAGAAGGGCTTGGGTTGGAAGGGACCTCAAGGGTCATGAAGCTCCAAACCCCCACCACAGGCAGGGCCGCCAGCCTCCACATTTCATACCAGACCAGCCTTTGCCAGATGATGGATGCTTTCAGGTATCTCAAGGGCTTTTGTAGCAGGCTGTGATTCAGTATAGGCTAGGGAAGGTTGATTTATCTGAAGCATCCATTCGAGCGTCCCATCCCTCCATGCTCTCACCCTGCTCTCCCTAACTCCTCCTTTCTTTGCTGCCTCAGGTTTAAAGTCTTTGCAGATTACGAGGCTTATGTCAAATGCCAGGAGAAAGTCAGCGAGCTGTACCTGGTGAGTGCGAGAGGGGACAGGAGGGGGTCTGCTGTGGGACCCCAGAACAGCACCGGGCCGTGCGGATGGGCACCCATAGATACAGCCCTCCCTCCATCATCCCCTTTCTCTCGCAGAACTCCAAAGCCTGGACCAAGATGGTCATCAGGAACATCGCAGCTGCAGGCAAATTCTCCAGCGACCGCACCATCAAGGAGTACGCGCGGGACATCTGGCACGTGGAGCCCTCCGACCTGAAGATCCCACCGCCCAACGAACCACGGGAGGGGGCTGAGGACAGGACCCCCAACGGCACTGCAGCAAGGGCATAGGGCAGGGGAGGAGCACGGAGCTGAAAGCGAAACCATTCCGACCCATTGCTTGCGGTAGGGGCTCAAACTAAAAGTGCTGCGCAGAGGAGGAGTTGGGGTTGCTGGAGATGGAATGAGGAACTGGGCTTGCTCGCTGCAAAGCTGATTGCTGAACGTGCAGGGGATGGGGTATTTGCAGTGCACCTTCACTCTGCTCCTAGTCCCTGCTTCACCCCTCTGTCCCTGCAGCTGTATCTCCATCCCCCGAGCGCCCCGCAGCAGTGGGAGGACGAGCGTGGGTCTCAGTGTTTATTACATACAGCAGCAGTAGGGTCAGTGCCATGGTGGGGTCCCAGTGCAGGGCAGGGGCAGTGCTTATGGGCGCTGCGGGCAGCAGCTGGAGTCACTTCATGTTCAAGAAGTCTCTGCAACGAGATGCAATAAACCTCACGCTGTGTCACTCATCCCTGCCGCTCATTTCATATCCCATGGGGGCTCTCCCTGCGTCACCCCATGTGTCACTGCAGTGCTGATGGGCTTGGAGCAGTGATGGGGGCTCAGCAAATTGATGCCAGTGAATGCCATGGGATGGGATGGGATGGGATGGGATGGGATGGG